AGTAATGAAACAATATATTATAGCATTAAAAAAAGGCTACAGAAAATGAAATCATAACATATAGTATACGCTATTATAGGGATACATTTAATAGCATAGCCTAAAAACGCTATTGTATGTGACCACTCTAAGATAGCTCCGGCAAACACAGCGTTTATGAATCCGCTATGTAAGGGATATTATAGCGTTTTCCGTGTGTTAAGAATGCCCATATTTCTTATAGTGCTACTTTTTAGTATAAACAACAATTTTCTCGTGACTAGAACATGTTTCATGCTAATGTGGTCGTTGTCTAATCAGCTTGATTCAAAAATTCCTATAATACATATTGTTAAAAGATAATAAACGAAGAGATAGTAAAAGACCAAAGGACGGCACGGAATAATTTGAGATTCCGACAAGTTGAGATTCATACTCGTTTGCTTGTCTTAAGATCACCCTTACATACACAGAATTTAATAAATCAAAAATCATTGTCCATTATAAAAACAAAGAAACACAGCTCGGAAATGTATTCTTGTGTCTAAGTTTGAGTTAAGATACAATGCATTAAATCTTACGGATTTGCTGTTCGTTGGTTGTTAGACTTATTTTTATACCTCCGGTTACTAGACTATAAAGTTCTTTGCTAAATATTACTCACAAATATATACTAGCTGTTGTTAAGCTATTGGTGATTGATCAGTTCACGATACGTTGGCAAACTAACCATTCAAAATCTCTTTCCGTTCCCATTGCAAAATCTCCCAAAAGGTGCCCCTTCCGCTTGTGAAAGGAAAAACCAAAGGCTTACATGAACACATTGTATGTGTGAAGTGAAAGGACATGCATGATCCTTGACCCATATATTTTCCAAGATTGTACGTAAGTGCTCAGGCCACCAAACTTTGCTGGTATACCTACCTGCTTCGGTAGCGAGTCTTAAACTAGCTAGTGGAACCAAGCCTACGAATCATTAACACTTCACTGGGCTTGCCAAGTGGCGGTTCAAATCAACCCAGTACTCGATAATATAACCCTAAATATAAACTTAGGAGAAGATACAAGTAATCTACAAATATACTTTATATCGAACAATAAAGGGAGCTAGGGATTTTTGAACATATGTGGGCAAAATAACCAGTCAACAAACACCTCCCTCTCCTCTTATCTTCTTACAATTTTTTTTTTTTTTTTTTTTTTTTTGATAAACCCTATCGGCTGATCCGGTCGGCCTCGGTAGGAACGCACCGAGGTGCTACTTATCTTCTTACAATTGTTAATCTCACGCACGAGAGAGGTTTAAGACTTTAGATTTGCATTAGATATTTTCTTCTATGCTTCTCATTACGTTTTTTTTTTTTAAATTATTTTCTTCATCTAAACTCTGTTCTTTCTTTCAGTACTCATTTATTCATAATCGTTCATTTTTGTACTTTCGTTAATCGTTATGCATGGGTAGTTTTATTATTGGGGTTTAGGGGTTCTTAAAAGGGATTCAAGAATTGATCATTAGGGTTTTGATATGTAGACAATCTCAAGATAATGAGATTAATGCTCTTAGAGAGCTTATTAATATAGAAATATGAAACTGAAAATGAGATAGCTCATATGGAGCTTTATTCAAATGTAAAGAGCAAAGAAAGGTGCAGGCTTAAGGTTGTCTTCAAGACCAAAATAGATTTCGATTATGTTTCATAAAAGGATGAATGTGGCTGCTCAAAGAGGCAGCCTTGGTTACTTTCATCAATGTCTTACATAACATATATATATGAGAGCTCTTACAAAACCTAATCTCATGGACTAATGGGCTTCTCATGAGGCTAATCTTTGGGCTTCTTTGTGGCCTCTAATATGATACTCGGAACATATTTAAATTTCTTCTAAATTTGTGAAACAGCCTTTTGCTTGATTGACGATCTAGTTAGCTAGTGAGCTTAGATAGATTTGCTTTCCGAAAACTTGATAAATAACCTTAACTAATTTTGAAGAGCAAGCTCATAAATTGCAAATGTTTAGTTATGACGTTTTGTGAGCACATTGAGTTTTTTTTTTTTTTTTAAATTATCTCATTAAATTGTATTAAATATTACACTGGTCCGACCTTTTCTCTACGGCCTTTTGTGCTCCAAGCTAAAATACATTCCTTTTTCATGTTTTCTTAAATTTCTTAAGAAATGCAAAATTAACCTCAGGATGAGAAACATGAAACTATGAAAAATTTTCGGAGTTCCTCCTATTAAAAAAAAAGAGAGAAAAAGAGTGGTTGCAGGTTGTACCTTGCGACCTCTTGTTATCATACAACGCACATTTACTAACAAAATCAATGATTCTTTCTAGATATTGGCGCCCGAAATAATAAATCAATAATGAGCGGCATAAAGCTGTACCTTGCCTTGCTTGTATTCAAGGCCGGTGCTCGGCTCTGATAAAATATAACAAATATTTATCTCTAGTTGGTATATGTTAAGTGATATTTTAAACACATTTTATAGGGTTTTTTTTGTTTATGTTATCGAGTCTTTTAGTCGAGAACATGTAGCTTTCGATGTCTTTTAGTGTTTTCACGTTTTTGGTCCGATATATGAACACCACATTCAAGTATATCTTTTTTATTCCTTCTATCTCTTCTTTCCTCGATTGCCTCCCGTGCTCCAAGCCAAGGTACATTCTCTTTCCCCTTCCTTTTTTCTGTTTCCACAAAAATTTTTGGATATACAAATTAACCTTAGGATGAAATTTTGAAAAATTATCGAATCTCCTCTTAGCTTAAAAATCCTGAAAACATCATCTGAATCCTCCATGTACTGGATAGCAGATGAATTCATACATGCAAACTTCCACTAAAACACACAAAACAAAACAATTAGCCACAATAAGATACAACAAATATTTACCACTTATTGCTAAACAACAAACGGATATCCATCTTGGCAAATTCTTCGTCACGGACATGAAGTTTCTTCTGAATTCGATTCTTCATCTTCCGTAAGACTTCCCCTTCACGAATGACGAACATGAATGGATCCCCAAACGGTTTAAATCCCTAAGAATCCACAAGAATTATAAAAGATGTTAAATTAAATGATTAATGGACAATAAAGACAAGCTATTTTAGTTGTTACCTTGATAATTCTATGGTTAAAAACGTGAAATAACCTCACTTCCGCATCCTTGTGGGAAAGGTGAACATGATACAAAAGTGCAAATAAATCTACATCAAAAGAAACCAACATGATACAAAAAACCAAGATAATATTATTAGGTGTCAAAGCAAATAGCATTATGAACCTTCTTTATCGCACACATATACGTGCATGATGTGCACATGGAAATCAAAGTATGAAATTTGTATTCCTTTTGTGAAGAGATCGGACAAATAGCATTCTTCAAGGATATATAATTCAACAAAATAAGTAGTATTTTTTTTTGTCAACTAGCAATATGGCTTACCAAAATGTTTTCACACATATAGTCATCAGAATCATTAAAATAAACTAGCTTAATCAAGCGAAATGATTTGACATCATCATATTATTGTTGATTATCACGGAATGAGAAGGTCCCGTTAAGAATTTATTATTTAGCACCTTTAGTTCTATTATTGTTGCCAAAGGTTAAATGATTATTTTGCTTTCCATTTTTATCTTGAACCCATATCCTAGATGTGGCAATTTAGCCCTCGCATGTACAACCTTTTTTTCATGTTCTTGACCCCCTAGCTTCATAATTATTGCAACTGTAGACATTAATCTTGACTTGAAATTGTTAGTCATTCCGAAATGTTATGGTTTGTTCGTATCTAACATGATGTGTGCCACTAATTTCGTTTTAATTCTCGTAAGTTGTAACGTGTGAAAGGGGAGAGATATGATTTTGCAAAGGTTCTTAACCCAAGTCTCTTTTAGAGCATTAGGTTAATTGTTGGAAATTGTTTCTGAATTATCTAAGCCATGATACAATTTAGATTATTATATAAATAGTAAAAATGATACAACTTAGATTCTAACATAAGAAAACCCCTAATCCTATTGTTAAAAAAACCCGCAAAACCTAATATTGAAAAGAATACCATTATACCAAAATAAAACAAAAACACCATAACTCTTATTTCGTATCATAACACAAGTTGTTGAATCTATTTTAGTGTAACTGCAACTCCGGACATTTACGCATTTGAATTAACGAAGAGACAAAACTTCATGATTCTTGGCTGCGATTGGGTTGTGGGAAGTAAGTAAGCTCTTTGTTTCTTGTTTTTTTTTTTTTTTTGATAACCCAGTATCCAGACCACACAGTGATCTGACTAGCCCACTGGGCCTAAGCCCGCGTCACAGGGATTTTTAAGCCTCCACTTAAGGGCCCCCTGATAAACTGGTGGTCTGGGGCGCTTGAGCAAGTCCGCAGGTAAATTCCCAGGTGGCCACATCTTTGTTTCTTGTTGTGAAATGTTATGCATGGTCGTCCATATTCATCTTTTATATTCAAAGTTTCCTCATTATAATCTACACATTGCGTCCGTTTTCAAATGTTTGGACCAAGTGATGATGCTATTCGATTTGTTCAGAAATTCTCAAAGGTTCAACGTCCCTCCACTAAAATAAATTACTACATATATAATCAAAGTGTCTTAAAACATAAATGAAAAGCTAGATGAAATTTCATTGTAAATTACGGTCTTTATAAGTTATAAAGAAACAATCATTATTATGTAGTTGGATTCAAAATGTCAACTCTCAAGTCCCAACTTGTGTAACATTTCTCTCCCCACAAACGTGCCAAAATTAATATATTCCAATCTCACCACATTTTTAAATACTATTTTAATTTACATACTTTCGTTACAACTTACAACAACAACTTGCTCAGCACAAATATCGTTTCAACTAAATAACTAAATAATTAAAATGGCCAATTTGGCCACCCACTCTCACTCTTCTTTCTCACGCAACTTCCTCTGCTCTCAAGATTCTTCTCTACACTTCACCTTCTTCTATATAATTCTCTCTCTCTCTCTGCTCACAAACTAGGTTTTAAGTATTGTAACAATGGCGCTTGAAGCTTTGAATTCACCGAGGTTGGTCGAGGATTCATCTACAAGATTCCATGGCGTTGAGCAGTGGACCAAAGGTAAGAAACGATCCAAACGTTCGAGATCTAATCATCATCATAACCACCGTTTTACTGAGGAAGAGTATCTAGCTTTCTGTCTCATGCTTCTTGCTCGGGACGGCAGCGATCTTGATTCTGTGATGGCGAAGGAGAAGCTGGGTTATAAGTGTGGCGTTTGTTACAAAGCATTTGCGTCTTACCAAGCTCTCGGTGGTCATAAGGCAAGCCACCGGGGTTTATACGGCGGTGGAGGTAATGATAAGTTGACTATGTCCGCTGCTGTGAAATCTCACGATTGTTCGGTTTGCGGGAAATCTTTCGCCACCGGTCAAGCTCTTGGCGGCCATAAGCGATGCCACTACGACGGTGGCGTTTCGAATTCGGAAGGTGTGGGGTCTACTAGCCACGTCAGCAGCAGTAGCCACCGCGGATTTGACCTTAATATTAGGCCGGTGCAGGAATTCTCGCCGGAGGAGGAAGTTATGAGTCCGATGGCTATGAAGAAGCCTCGCCTGAAGTAAGTCTTTGTTGAAGACTTGAGTTTACCAATGTAAATATCAAATTTCAAGGAACAATTCTGTTGATCCTTTAAAAAAGTTTTGAAAATTTTGTATTTTAGGCTATCAGAGGGTTTATATTAATGATGTTTAAAAAATCTAGTCTAAAGATGTTCATTGTCTACCTGAAACTTTTTGGATGATGGCTATATACGATTCAGTTCCTTTGTTTCTGAAGTAAACATTAGTATCTGTAGAACAAAAGTAGCAACAGCATACTAAATTCATTAGAACACCGAGTCGAAAATATTTACAACTGACTTTCGGTTGTTAAACTATCAAGTGAATTGGCCTCTCTATTTGAATTAGATGATCTCCTTACATTATCATAACTCCAAATTTGCCGATAATGAGTGGTTTTTTTCTTACTTACACTCGGTTTTGTTAACTTATTGACACCTTACTATTGTAGCTGTGTCACCTGTGTCCTCAAACTGCATTCCGTTGCCTGCATTTTTTAAAGATAAATCCCGATATCTCTAGTTATAGAGAGGAAAAACCGATAATGAAATTGAGATATTGTACCTGCAGAGCTGAGATTGTGTTTAGAAGGTCCCGGCACACGTCGAGCATCCCTTCTTCCTTGACATTCACACGGCCAAGTTCTGCCGCCAAGCTACTTATTTTCCCAACCTGAGCAAATGGCTTTCACTTTTTAATATACAAATATGGATAACTATCGACGCAATAAATGGTAAAAAAACTCTTACATTCCTCTTCCCTCAATCCCTCAATGTTGACAAAATTATGGAGCAAATTATTCTAAGACCGGATTCTAAGCCACTAATTCTAATCAGAGACTAATGTATAAGAAGAGCTACTGGACTATAACAGGAGATGTGCACAGTCAAATACGTACGGAGTGTTCTACTCAACATTTTATTTGTCTTAAAAATTCCGTTAAAAGGTTGCGACCTAAACATTATTCGAGTACAAGAGAACCCAAAACTAAACACAATTAGAGAGAAAAAAAGGGTCACCTTTGGCAGCAACAAGCATATGGAAGATGCCATTGCTTGCATAACATCAACTGCTGAACAAATGGCATCCTTAACACTTTGTACATTTACCTGCAATTGGTATCATTTATCATCAGCAAGTATCACAAAAGTTTTCCCAACACAGTACTAAAAAAACCGGTTGAGTAGAAAAACCAAACCATTGCCCCGCAATCAACAGGTAGGCAAAGTGTGCTGCCTTTTAGCGCTTCAGCAGCTCCTACTAAAGAACCCATATAATCCCGGTCCATAACCAACCACTCTTCTAGATGTCCCATCTATACATATGCATGTGAAATGTTTTAATTTCTTGTTAAGTAAGATTCAATTCGAATAAAATTTAAAGAAACTATAGGGAAATAAAAGAAAGAAGCGGAAATGGAAAACAGAAGATAGTTAGAGAGAGCACAAGGGCTAAGGCAGTTCAATATAAGGCAGATTAACATACCTGCCTATTGAGAATAGCTATCAGTTTCAAATTCTGCTTCAGGTGCTGCAATTCGATTCTTTTCGCTCTGACAGAATCATATAGCTTAGAGATACTTATCCATGCATTGCACAGTCTTTTCTGCAATGAAAACAGGGCTCCATTAGAGTTTTGTGGGCGTCTCCTTGACAACCAATTAAAAACTAACCACTTAAAATTCAGTCAGTAGGATATATGTGGCATAGACAAGCCTGGAAAACATAATAGATTCGAATGTTCAACACAAGCAGACATGCCTACGACTACGAGTTTGTTTTGATTGAAACTAACGGATTTTCTAAAACTATCAGTGGTTGTCTCATTCAAAGTTCTGAATGTTAAATTGCAAAATTGACTGAAAACACTTATTATGCTAATCTATGTTCAAGATTTAAAGCATTCAGGACAAAAGGATTGCTAACCTCCGCTCTCATCTTTTGTGCAGAGATAACAGCATTTGCTCGTGCATTAGCAAATTGCCATTGGAGCAATCTATTGTGTAATAGCCTCAACAAGTGAGCATCAGCAACTCCATTATCTCTGATCTTCTCTTTAGCATCCACAACAAAATTCGGAATCAAAGGCGTGTTTTTACTCAGCGAGCTTCTCACTCTTAGTGGACTCATTCTGCCTGAAGGACTAATCCCTCTTGGAGGAACCACACCTCTCGAAGGGCTTATTCCTCTAGCAATGCTTGTTCCTCTCGGACTCGACAAAGCTGCATTCATACCAAATTTACCAGGTGAAGCTGGTCGAATCTGCTCACTTTTTGGAAACAATTGACTTCCTTTTGGGGACAATACCGAACTATCCACAGATATCTTCCTCAGTCCATGTGAGCTAGTCTCTAACCGATCCTGCGACCGATTACTAATCGATTGCGAAACTCTCCCCTTAACCACATTGCCAAGAGCTGGTAACATTTTCCCTCTTCCATTAGAGGTTCCAGAAGAAACACTCTCTGTCTCTAAATCAACACTCAATGAATCTCTCCGTTCACGCGAAACCGGTCTATTATTCATCATGGAATTCTGCAGAGCTCTAGCTACACCATTGCCAGATCCGGTAAGTTTCTTCCTAGTATCTGTAAAATCTACACTTCTACTCAAACAATTAGGTTGCAGAGACCTAGGCCAATGATCAGAGAGCTTCAATTTCTCTTGCTTACCTCCACCACTTCTAGATGTTGTTGCCGACGAAGTCGTCTTCGTACCTCTCACTGGAGTAATCGGAGATGAAATCAACTTCGATCTATTCTCATTCCCTGTAAACGAATCAGCCTGAAACGACGCAAACAAGCTTCTCCCAGAAGTCAACAACATTCTCTGCGCTTTTGAAACCTCTCCACTATTTCCTCGTCGATCTAACGACTCACGACGCGGTGTTGATTTCGGCCGATTTGTAGCAACCGACGACGGAGTCACCGGTCGAGTAACGGTCGGAGATTGACATCTCTTCGGTGATGATGATTGGTGAAATAAAGAAGAAGCACCGTCGAGGTATCGTGATGCTACGTCTCGTGTTTTTGGCCGGCGATTTGATGATTCCGATGGAAACGACGGTGGTTTGTTATGTTTAGTGTTTGCGTTAAAAGAAGGTGAAATTGCAGCTGTCATCTCCGACATTGAGAAATCAACATTGCCTCGTTATGAATGTGAGAGATTGTATAGAGAAGAATTTTCCAACGGAATTGAGAGATTTCCGGCGAAACTAGGGTTTTGATTTATAGAAATGTAAGTGAATTTTGCAGTGTTAGTATAAATCTCTGACGAAGCCGAGAATAGAGTGGGGAAGGTGGGGAGATAATTACGTTAAGTTTTGTGAGAGTATAACTGTCGTCTCTTTCCTTTATAAATCATCTTGACTCATTTTTTTTACTTTTTAAATTTAAATCAGTAATCTCTTAATTACTTCACTAATCATAATAACCCGTACTGTAACAAGGATTGAATTTCATTTTTTTTTTTTTGTCATCCGAAATTAACTAGAGCTCAAAAGAGCCATTCCTAAGGAATGTTATTTACATAAGTGATATGAAGCGGTTCTGTACGAATTTTTCGTGCCAGATTATCCGCTTTAACATTAGCCCTACGAGAAATTAAAGATAAAGAAAAAGATGAAAACTCCTCCTTGTCGCTCTGAAATTCCTCCAAGTACACTGAAAATGCCGGCCATTCGGTTGGAGAAGACACCATCTTCACCAAGTCTGAACAGTCTGTAAAGAACAGTACCTCTTGATTATCTGCACCAATCATACCTCTTGATTGAATTTCATTTAGTACAAAATTTATATATATTATATATTTTAAAATAAAATTTTGATATATTATAGTAGGCAGTAAAAAAATATTAACTTTTTGTCAGTTCTTATATATAATATTAGAATAAGTATATTTTTCTTATTATGGCTATGAATGGTTGTGAGTTTTTAAATATTTAGATTATAGATTTTAGTTTTTGGATTTTTGTATTTTTGTTTTTGGTTTTTGACTTTTGCAAATATAAAAAATAAAAAAATAGAAAGAAAAAAGAATGTTACGTTAAAAATTTGTTTAGAATAGGTGAAAAACTCAAATAAGACGGATTTTGAATTGTCAATGAAAATTGTCAAAATCTTGCAAAAACTAGATTCCCTAATTTTTAGAAAAACCATTTTCACAAAATCTTGAATGGGTGAAAAATGAGTTTTTCAAAAACAAAAACCAAAAACTATTACAAAAACTAGTAAACATTCAAGGATTAATTTAAGAAATTCTTTTTTCAATTTGTAATTCTTTAGTTGTTGAAATAGAGATTTGTTTGAGCTAATTACGGAATTTAGTAGTTATTCGCATAATCGAATATGTTATGAACATATTTTTATTATATAATAATACTAAATTCAACCCATACGTGGAGTATATTTTCATTTTAGAATCTCAATGAAAATATTGAGTGCACAATCTATCATTCGCTATTTTCAAAATTATTTGTAGAATCAAATTTCAAATATTTAGCGGTATCAAACCTTATTTAACCCATCTCTTCATAGAGTCTTAACTTGTCGTATGTTATAAGAATCATAACTCTTTCTATCATATAATAAATTATAAGGGGAAGGCTTTATTAAAATTAATTTAAAATTATAATACGGCTTAACATGCATAATTGTGAATGCATATCATTTATTGAAATTTAGGAAATTACTTTATAGAAAAAACCATAATTTAAACTTCAAAGAGAATATTAAGATTACAATTGTGTGCGGAAATATGCATATCCATTATCGAGTAATAACAAATATGATAAAAATAAAAGTAGAAATAGAAGTTAAATTTGCATTTTTTGTTTAAATAAAATAAGTTGGAAAGAGATACTATGAAAATAATATAATAAACAAGTTCTTCTTTTACGATCCAAACATGTTGGAAATGTTCTTTATTACTTGTTTCATTACTACAAATTACATCCTCTGTTTTGATATTTGGAGACCGGCCATGAGTTTATGATATTTTCTTTTATTTCTTGCATGAAATCTCAAATCTTTTTCTTTATTCGTCTCGCTCTTGTAGTGAGATAACATATGTGCAGCAAATCTTTGAGAAGTGTCAAACACACCATTGCACTTGGGACACGTATATGGACCATATTTCACATATGGTATACTATGTGTACGACCATCATATTGATCATCATCACTTTTCTCATCTTCTTCAGAATGAACATAATAAGTAGTTCTTTCAAAAAGATTGGCTGGTTTGGAAATTTTCTTCGAATATCGACTAGCGTGAGGAACATGGTTACACTTTGATGTAAAGGAAGAAAAATCTGAATGATGAAGAGCAGCAGAATGTTGGCGCGGATAAATGATACTAAGAGGTGTAGGATTCAAAATTTTGCACTGATTATCGAAAAAATTTTGAGGATAAAATACATGATTCCAAATATTAGTATTAGAATCCATGGAACGTTTGACACGTTTAATTTCATGTTGGAAATTATCAAGTTTATTGGTAGGAACAATAGTAGTATACCTATTTGTGATGGTTTCAGAAAAAGAAATTTGAGTAATATGAGAATTATTACTAGAAAAATATTTGGTACCAGAAAAAGAATCAAAGTTTCTCCTCATCATATGATAGTTCATATGTGAATTGTTAATTTGAAAAGAAGATGAAGAGGCATGTGAATTTTGATAAGAAGAAAAGGATGGAGGAGAATCAAACAAATCTTCATGGTTCATGCGATGGTTTATGAAATTATCACCATAACTATTGAACCTATTTAGATTAAAAGACATATTGAAACTTTAGATGTATCTTACACCATTTGCCTATGTATCATTTTATACAATTTTCAAGTTGGTAAAAAAGGTAATAAATTGAAATTACTAATTCAAAGTCAATATATTTTGTTATTTAGTTAATCTCAAATTTGGTAACGTTATTTATGACTATGAATAACTTATTTTGGAGTGTTATTTCTTTTGTTGACTACTTACTTATATTTTTGTATTATGGTTTGAATTGTACATTCTTTCCTAAAATTTATAAGATGGTATATATTATAGTTTGAAAAAATTTACAAGATTCATTTTAAATGTTGAACTTTATCATTCTAATTGTTAAATCATATTGTAACGGTTTTCATACGTCCTTTATATATATATATATATATATATATATATATATATATATATATATATATACAGTAAAACCTCAATAAATTAATCCTCTATAAATTAATAACCTCTCTAAATTAATAAATTCTTCCGGTCCCGAGTTGGGACCAGTGTAAAATATGACATAAATCGTAAATTAATAAGATAATAATTCTTTTGAAAATCTCATATAAACATATGGTCTCATCTATATCATAAATTAATAATTGTATAAACTTATCAATATATATTTATATATTTATTTTAATATATATGATATAAATTTATGTATGTCATATATGAATTACCATGATATATATTTATAATATTATATGTAAAAAATTTAATGAAATATGAATCTATTATTCGAAAACAGTTTGTGTTGTTTTTTAAACTTAATAACTGCTTCTCTACTTGTAATTAGTTTTTAAAAGATATTGTGTATATAGAAAAAAATTATTTTTAGATAGAATTTTTTAAAGAATTTACAAAATTAGTAAAATCTCTCTATATTTATCGATAAATTAATACCTCTTTAAATTAATAAAATTTCGTGGTCCCAATATTATTAATTTATAAAGGTTTTACTGTATATATATATATATATATACATATTATCGAGTCTTTTTGTAGAGAATATATAGTTTTCGATCCTTTTTAGTATTTTTAGGTTTGTGGAGCTGTTTTGGTAAAATAGCGAGTTTAGGAGAGGAAATAGAGCAAAATACGTCAAGAGGAGAAAATATCCAAGATCAAGACCGATCGGTTGGACAATTGTACAGGTCGGTACAGAAGACTCTCATAACCGATCTGTTACCCCTTTAAACTTCACACGAGTTTCTTTAACTCTTATTTTGTTCTAGCCATGTCTAAGTCTATATAGTTTATTGTGTATTTCTTTGCTCTATGTGGATTCAATCTCTAAATACTATTGCGTTTGTACTGTGCACTTGAGATCTTTATTAAGGGTTAAACCCGCAAAATCCCTTCTTGTTCTTACATTTTTTATGTGAATCCCAAAACAAAATTATTTATGTCTTGGGGTCTTGTGACGGGTTACTCTTGGTTCGGATCTACGATTTAGGTTTCTTTACTTAATCAGTCCAACAGCGAGAGAGCAGCAGAAACTTACTCTTGTATTATCATAATGGCCGTATGTTTTAGTTATGCTATTGACATAAATAGTCTAACAATTAGATAGACACTGCTCTCGACATTTCTAAATCCTCAACTAGTTGGTACGTCGTTCTTCGTCCATAATTGATTATATATTTGGATGTAACAATTACCAACTCTGAAAATATATCAATATATGTTAGAGATATGTAGTGGAGTTACAAATATATTGGCTCTTAGACTATGAAAAATATGTGTACTATTGTAAAATTACCAAAACATTGCCACTATACCAAAATATGGGCATTAAGTGGTATAGAGGCAATGTCTTGGTAAAGCTTTAACTTCTTGATCTATGCGTATAATTTTTGAAAGAAAAACTTTATAGTTGTATAGAATGTATATACTAATTTCAGAACACAAATTAAAATTGACTAAAAAGATTTAGATAAGTAAAAAAGATAAAACATTCACACGAAAAGAATATGTAAGTTTGACAATGGGAAAAAATAAAGAAACACAAAGAGTATATAAATATCAAAATGCGTTAGTTACATTTAATAAAATCAAAGAGTCGTTAGGTGAAATGTCTAACCAAAAAAGAGAAAAAGCAATCACATCATCACACAATACTTGTTGAACTAGATCATCACCCGTACTAAAGTACGGGTTAAATTTTATTTATTACAAAATTTATATAATATATATATTAGAACTAAGTTTTAATATATTATAATACAAAGTAAAAAATATTAATTTTTTTGTCAGTCCCTATATACAATATTAAAATAAATATAGATTTTTTTCTATAATACTCAATTATGGATAATTTTTTTTTAAGATATGAAAATGGAAAATAATTTTATTTTTTAAAAAGTAATATTTTTTGAACAATGAGTTCATTTATGTTAACAACCACAAAATAGGATTGCATATATTTTAGTTAGAATTAAAATATCATAAATGAATCGCATATAAAACATAGATTATTTTGAATTAATTAAGAAATTAGCTATTATTTTGAACTAATTTAGAAAATTCTTTTTCAATTTATAATTCTTTGGTTGTTGAAATAGAGATTTGTTTGAACTAATCTAATTACAGAATTTGTTTGAGATTTATAATTACGGAATTTACCAATTATTTGCATAATCGAATATGTGATAAACATATATTTAGTATATAATAATACCAAAATCAACCTGTGCGTGGAGTCTATATTTTTATTTTAGAATCTCAATATTTTATTTTAAAATATTACGTGCACAATCTATTATTCGTTAACTCTAAAATTGCTTGCGGAATCAAATTTTCAAATATTTAGAGGTGTCAAACCATATTTAAATGTTCTACACTATTTTTAAATATTCCAAATTAAAATCTTTAAATTTTTTTGTAGTTTATAAATTTTGAATTTCAAAAAACAAATTATATGAAATTAAATATAACTATTCAAATAGTTATAAGGATCAAAACTCATTTCATCATATAATATATTATATTTAACCTGCTACCTATTATAAATATTTTTAAAAATAATCAAATTAGAGTATTTATAATTTTTAACTTTTTGAACTATTAAGTATTGATGATATTCTCTAAAAATATCAAGTAAAACTTATTTTAAATGTTGCAAATTAAAATATTTAATTTTTTATTGAAGTATATAAAATTATACATTTCAAAATATAAATGTATGAAATCGAATATAAATATTCAAATTCTGACCCGTTGCTCAGTCGAAATTTTTGTTGAGTTTATTTTTGTGTAAAAGAAATATATTACTCAAGTCTGAATTTTTGACCCGTTTCATTGTTTTCTTTATAGATTGAACAATTTATATGCGTTTTTAAAAATTCAAATCTTGGCATATGCAGAAAAAAAAATTTTTTTTTTTTATTATATAGATGATATGATGATTTATTTGTTTCATATAAATATAATCATATAAAGATGAGAGGTGAAGTTTAATGATTAATAACAAATTAATATGGTAAGTTAGATATCAAATCTTATATATTCATTTTGATTGGTCATTTAAAAAAAATTAATAACAGATTTTCGTTTTATAATTTAATTAAATTAATTAAATGACATAAATTAGTATTTTACTTGTTTATCCTTAAGAAATTGAATAAATTTGTTCTAAAAGAAGAAATTTGTAATGGCATTCTCATGTAATTTTTTACAAAAAAGAAGGTTAGTTAAGGATTTCTTATAAAGTGTACTCCCCAAATAATAGTATAGGATACTCTTTTTCAAGACCGGCCTTTAAATAAGCCCAGAAGCAGCCGACACATATATGAAACAAACACACACACTTGTTTGGACATCAGTATCTAACCAATTGATTCTGACATTTCATCTTTCTCTATGGATTCATTGGTTGATAAATTTTTTTTATTTATGGCCACTAATTTGGAACTTGGAAGTCTAATCTTTTTAATGGAAGAGGGATGTCTTTTTTCTTTCTAGAGAGATATATTAAATAAAGATACCACTATTTTTTGACAAAAAAAAAAAAAAGATACCACTATTATTCTTTTTCCTTTTAAAAAAAAAAAAAATTATTCTTTTGCATTGGGAAAACACTTTGATTTTAAAATTTAAAGAATTTATCATTGGATTCTCAAGAAAGTGTTTCCTTCTATTACAAAATCCATATTTTTTTTTTTTTTGGTAAAAGAAAAAGGTGGTTTCACCTCTTTGCCGGGAACCCAAGCATTGTAAATAGTCCCTCCCACCGTGAATCGAAACCAGGTGGCGGTAGTTACAGTTGCAACCCCTTTACCACTAGGCCAACTCAACGTTGGTACAAAATCCATATTTTTAGCAACTTGGGAGTTTTAAGTCAAGATTTGTTCTGTTTTCTTATGTTAAAAGACTAAATCAAAGAAGCCAAATAGATGAACACAAGCAGTATCAAACTATGTGAAGCATTTTGTATTCTATATACAACACTCATGTGATGATAATCATAAGTACATAGAGGTATGCCATGGAATATATAACAGCTAAATAAATCTCTGCAACCTCGGATTCATTATTTGCGAAATTTGTCAATAAAACCACACCACACTGCAAGGGACCCGTCAAGGCTCTCTCAAATACAACAATGGTTTGGTTTATATAACGGATCAGAATCTTTGGCAAAGATATGAACCAAGAAGATTCCAGCAAGGTTTCTTCCTTTGTTGTTGTTGTTGTTGGATTGGTGCGGTACGTGTAAGATCTTCGTTCTTGTGTAACAAATTCCACATTATGTGTATGTCTTCGTACTCGCAAGAACTCACGTCGTTTTGTAACCTCAAGAGTCCTGCAACACACAAGACCATCATTTAGTTTTTTTTTTTTATAAAGATTTAACACCGATTTATTCGGGTTTTATCGAAACATCCGACTAATCCTCCTAAGTAAAGATTTGTTCCGCAAGACCATCACGGATAAAGCAACAAAACCTCAAAGACCTTCAATTCTTGATAGTTCAAAAATCTCTTGTTATAGCTAAAAAGATTCCGCCGACAGTTTCTATATATGATCAAGAATCACAAAAGAAAGTGACAAAAATTCTAAGCTAAATCTCAGAGGAAATAGAGAATGTTTTTTTCGGTTTTTTCATCATCAAAAGCGATGAAACAGAGGATTTTTAGCCCTCGGTGAAAGGGACCTTGGAGGATCGGAGCTTACCGCTATGTCGAAAGCCGACGCGAACGGTGAAACGATTCCAGATGCGCCGGGTGGGGAAGGCCATCGTGTTCCACCACTCTCTCCATCTTAGGCCGGCCATTAGATCAAAGTGTAGAGAAAGAGAAGAGAGAGAGAATGTTGAAAGGGAGAAGAAACCCAACCCCCCAAAACTGACGTTGCAAGCAATAACTTCAACTAAATAGAGAGTCTTATTAAAATAAAAATACTACTAGTAAAATAAAAATATTTTTAATAAGAAAAAACTATCAGCCGTATATTCTATGTTTTATTCTTAAAAACATATTACATAAATATTGAATAAAATAGTGCAAAGACCTTTAGGTCCTTTCTTCACTGGATGGAGAAAACAAATCTGATTTCTAACATTCTGGTCTGGTCGATTTGGTTCGGATATTGGATTTTTGTGATCTGGGTTTTGGAAAATAGGTTTCATGTAAGATCAACATTTGTTTGGATTTGGTTTCAAATTTTTGGTTCAGATTAGATGTTAAATAATTATTATAAACATAATTACTTCTAGGCAATAAATAAATTAAAAAAACATATTTAAGATTTCTTGTATATTTAAGGTTGTAATTAATTGTTAATTATAATTTATAAGGAAAATAATTTAATTTAGATATAAACTTAATCTAAGTTCTTCTAAAAACTTACTAATTATATAATATATAAATTTTTTATCTGATAAATTCATATTTAGTCTCCAAATATACAAAGTCTGGTGTAGTTTTAGTAGTAACAAAAATATATGTAAATGTTTACATTACTGTTAAAACTGCTATGTATTGTGCGGTTCGATCTTTATTCGGAACTATAGTTTAATTTTAAGTTTTAATGAGAAGAAAATAAATTACTCTTTTTTTTCTTTTTTAGTTTTTGATTTATTTCTAAAGAATACCAATGAGACCCTAAATGCATTGTTTAATAAAGATAACTAAAGTATTTTAAAGACAGAATTACTCTTCTCTCTTATCGCTCTCGTATCTTTTAGAGAGAGAGAGAGTTTTCTCTTCACTTTTTGTTTCTGGTTTTAACCAGATCTGTTTATATCTTCGCTTTTGCGATTCAATAATTACAGCTAAGTGCTGGACTTTTGCTACCGGCTCAATCCGGTTCTCTCTCGCTTATAGCGAGCTTCGATCTCTTTCCATTTGGTCTCCTCTCATCGATGTCTCTGCTTTCTTCAAAACTCTCTCCGTTTTTCTCCAATCATTCGAGGATTAATATCTTCGTCACTCTCCTTTTGCTCAAGAGTATGAGCAAAGAAGGATCAAAGTCTACATCAAGTTGGGTGTAGTGGTGGTGGAGCTTCCCCGGTGTTGGCGTTTTCCGGAGCAATTTTGAAGTGTTCTTCATATAAATCCGGCAGATTTCGGTGCTATTCTTCAGTTGGATTGCAGATCGGCAGAAGGGAGAAGGATATCCATCGCTCCATGACTGATTGGCGGTGGCTGATCGGAATTCGGCGGTGTCCGGCGAGTTTGACGGTGGTGCTTGAAATCTTGACGCGTGGCTTGGAGAAGAACACGTCTTCTACACGTGTCGTCCGATAAAACATAATTTGCTTTTAATTTTATCTGTTTTTTCAATTATGTTTATGTTGGGCCGTCAAATTTCGTTTGTATCCTTAATGGGTCTTAACCCTTCTGTAACTGTCCTTTGGGCTTTATGAATCTAAATCTTTGGCCGACAAAAAAAAAAGAAAAAAAATAATAATAATAACTAAAGTATTTTAAATAAATGGGGATAATTTGATATAACTTTTTAAAAATCGGTTGACGAAATTTGATTCAATTTAAATCGGTTCGGTTCAATTATTATGGTAGCAAAAAGTAGAGTTTCCACTTTCGAATTTCGAAGGAGAATAAAGGAAAATCACTAGCTGCGTCTTTGGCCTTTCGGCATGCTGACGTCATACCAATTAGATCTGCGCCACGTATGATAAGGTTCAGTGTGGGTCCCATTTGTCGAGTGCCGTTGAATACGACGAACAATATTAAATTGTCGGTAGCTCTTATAATTGTCTCCACGTGTAGATTTCCTGATGGCTTTTAGATTTCAATTTTGTATTTTTTTTTTATCTATTTTCTGTGGAAGAAATACGGAAAAACAAATATCATGTTTTTTTTTTCTGACGGCAAATATCTCGTGCCAATTGTTTTTTCTTTTCAAAGAAAATTAAAAATAGAATAGGACAAAATATATATACTTAGGAAGAAAAACAGTGTTTTGTTTTGGCCACTATCAAAGATGATGTTTTATGATTCAATGAGGCAATATGACCTAAAACGTGGCCTAAGTTTGGTTTGAAATGTGAATTATGTGGTTAACCTCATACTAGTTCTACCTACCCTAGTTTATTTTTGGCATTAATATTAAATCTAAAAAGATAAAATAATTTTTTCTTAATGCAAAATGTTACAAGAAAGTAAAATAAATTAAAACTCGGGCTATTTTTATGGCCCAAATCATTGCAAATGGCATATACATATGAGTCAAGTATGGTAAAGCCATTTTGGTAATTCATGGAACGGAAAAAGTCTTGCATTTGCGTAAGCGAGAGTGACAAAGGAGAGATATGTCTGATTTTTGTTTGGGTTGCTTCTTTCATGCGGAAAATGGAACTTTCGTAATTGGCCCTAACAGCTACATATGGTCGGCTTGAACTTGGTGGGTGGTAGTTGCATCCAAGTTTCGATCTCAAACTGGCTCCTTTCTAGAAAAAATCTCACCGGGGTGCACACGAGCTATTCATTGTACCGTGGAAAGATTTTAAAAACTGCAAATGTGCCCTTTGAAGTTTGGCCCTTTGGTAAGACTGTGTTTTAAGATTTAACAAGTAGTTTTGCTTTTTATACTCCTAAGGATGGAGAGAAAAAGAAGATGGTGAAGCAAGTTTTCGCAGTAAAACGTGATGGAACTTTGAGAATTCCTGATAAATATATGCTTGGATGATCAGAATTCATACATGTTTGTGTCCATGTCAATGCGAAACTTTTGCTGCATTGTAGACACCTAAAAAAATTCTACTAGTACTAATGGTTGGTTCAATTGAATAAAGAGAATGCGATTGCGTGTGACCAAGAACATTCATCCTTGTCATTGTTCAGCTGTCAGCTTTCGTCTGGTTTGCCATATATGTCAAATAAATCGTCCATATATATGCGCACGAGCTATTCATCAGCGGCTGCAACCAAAAGATTACAAGTTGAAGTTAAGAAGTGTCTAACAAGACATCCCAAACAATAGAGAAAGTAATAAGATAGATATTTGGTTTACCTGTAGATGAACTGGCACATACTTGAATGTAACGAAATCACAGACCGGCCAATACATAAGTCCATTTTTCAATGTTGGCAGAAGATCTCGCTTCAATCTCGCCAAAATTTCTTCAGAATTTTCACCTTAAAAAGGACCAGCAACGTGCCAGAACCAAGCACATGATGAGCACCATAAATTTACAGTAAAAAGCTAAATCCATTTGAAACAAAGAACACTTCAATCCATAAGCTTGTACCTTGTAAAGCAGCATTGTAGGAATAGAAGACCGTGTTGCTAACAGGTCCAAAAAGAACCTGCCCCATCATTATTTTCTTAAAGGTTGTCAACACATCACGCTTTGGCAATATCTTTGAAAGGTAACTGAACCACAAATGCTGTGACGGCCCGAGAAATATCAACCCAAAGCTAGCCATTCTGGCTGTTCTTATCAGGTCAAAAGAACCCGTTGGCTGCATCGTGATCATCTGTTGAAGAATTACAGAATCAGTACAGATAAAGAAACAAAAGGGTCTCTAGTTTCCTTTCTCTTATATAGACATATTATTCAGGGAAGCGAACCATAACATCACAGAATAACTGAAAGGAGAAATCCACATATGATAGGAAGAAAGAAATAGTTTACAAGCACCACAAGACACAGACCTAAAACTTTTCTGCCTTAAAGATAAGAATTTACAAGAGGTAACAAGAGGATTGGAATGTAAGTTTTCTGAGCTACTAAACCGGTACTAAATTCATCCATTACTCAGCACAGAAAGACTTCAAATTCACAAGAGTAAAACATACAGATTAGTAGATTGGGATGTCGGTTATTCGAGCTACCACAGCAGATAAATTTGTCCGGTATTCAGTAAACGATGTTAGTACAGTCTCACATATCAAATTACAACAGTTGAGAACACAGAATGGATCAAAGATCGGAGAATAACAACTTAGAAAGCAAAACAACCAAACCAAAACACAAATCACACCAACTTTAGTGCTATCTCCAGCTATTCTTTACACTAGTAAGATTATGATCTAGTTTCAAAGGTACCACATCAAATTTGGAATTTTTTAGGTTTGAAACAATGTGAGATTGGTGTTTTCTTCCTAAATCAAGAGATAAAATTCAAAACTTTAACAAAATTCTCTAAATAGAAATGAAATGAAAAAGAACCCTAAATTCCAAAACTGCAAAGATTCAAAAACCTAATTCCACGAGAACCAAACCTGAGAAGTGAGATCTGCGGCCATATAAATGAGAGAAGTAGTGATACTCTTAGTCATGAAAGGATGTGATTCGAGCTTTTTCAAATACCATCGTAGAAACGCAGGTTGTTTCGATGAAGACGAAGCATTCGTCGATATATTTCGCGACAAGGAGAAGACACGAGGGACTACGAAATTCCCAGTTTTGCGCAGCTCGTGAAACGATCGGCCGGAGAATCCGAAGATCGGTTTTCGACCGGAGAACACAGTTTTCACGAGAGCATTGTTGATTCCGTGAAGAGAACGACGATCGGAGAAGAAACGTTTGCTTAATCCAACGATGTTCATTCTTTGATCTCCGATGCTTCGATAATGGCGGCAGCTTCGCTCTACACTGTTTTGATCTCTCTCCGTACCAAAACAAAACGCAGCGTTTTGTATCTTATAGTAGAACGACATACAGTTCCTAACCAAAACAAATAAAACGACATGAAGTTTTATATATCTCTCCCCCCCCCCCTAACAGAGCAAACGACAGCGTTTTGGCTATTCATTAAACGACATACAGGTTTTAAAAGAAAACCAATAAACAACATACGACACCGTTTTGGCCATACATTAAAACGCCATACAGTGCTGAAACGAAGCTAACAAACGACATGAGGTTTGTTAAAGGACTAATCTTGTAACATCTGTTTCCCTTTAATTCCTCTTCGCCGAGAGCTCTTTCTCTCTTTGCCTTCCCCAGCTCGAACTTAAATCAATGGATCCTTCAATTTTCAAGCTCCTTGAAGAAGACGAGGTTAGGTTTCTAATCTCAATCGTTTTTCACAATCCAATTCTGTGTGATGACTTGCTCGATAGCTGAAATCGTCGTTGTGATTTCTGATTCCGGTCGAATTGTTGTTGTTAGGATGAATCGATGCATTCAGGAGCTGACGTAGACGCGTTCCAAGCTGCTCTTAATCGAGATATTGAAGGCTCTATGACAACTTCACTACCTCTCGTGACAAACCCAGGTATGGTTTCTCTACAAATTCTTGAGTTTGTGGAGCGATTTAGGTGCTTATTGGTCATATATAAAGATAGTATTTTTTGGTTTGCTCTTGGAGTAGATGATTTTGGGAAGCTTTGACAATTTTAGCAAAGTTATGGTTGTTTTGATATACATAGTATTTTCAGTTAGGTTATTACTCTTGGAACATGGATAACTAAAGAAGATGTCTCGGTTAGGCTATATTTTAAACCTAGCTAATCTAATTACTTGTGTGGAAGTTTCAATCCTACATTAAAGCAATAGTTAAGGTCATGGAAGACTAGTTTTTAAGGGCTTCTGTATGCTAATATCGGCATAAGCTTTGTCATCGCCAATAACCTGTCTAGTTGCTTGTTGGGTCATTAAAATCGACCAATGTGATGGGATTTGTTAGCCAGGGTAGATAATAGGTTGGTGATGCTGATGCTGTTTTAGTGCAATCTTGATGTTGGTCGTGTGTCTCCTTAAATAGTTATTTCTGTCTCTGGTACTGGAAGTGATCTCTGTCCTCTTACTCCGCATTAAATATTAAAATGAATTTAGGTTGTGTTCTGTGGATAGATGTATGAGAGATACTGAATATGCATTTTTTATGCATCATCTGCAAGAATAAAATCCTGGCTTTTGTCCCTTTTTTGGGCATTTATCTGATTTTTCCTCCAGTTTAACTTGTGATTCGAGTTTCATCAACCAATTCCTTGAATAATTTCTGTAGGAAACAACCATTCTCCCAACCAGCAGTTTGCGACATGGAAGAATGGTGTTGGAGATTCTAATATAAATGTCCAGCCGCAGCACATAAATGTCCAGACGCAGCACAGCCTTGAAAGCACTCATATGAAGGAGCAACAAGGATCGGCTATAGAAAATCAACATCAACATGATTTGAAACGCACAAATGAATCTCATTTACAACATAACCAGCCTCAAGACCTTCATCGATCAGGTCAACTCTGGGAGAATCCCTCGCAGGTCCCCCAAACAACTGGGTTACCGAAAACTGAAAAGAATCCTACTGGTAATGAATCAGATAGATCACATAATCAAGAGAGTGAATCTCAGTATATGAAACTGCAAAAGATGAGTAGCCAACAGGCTCGGGGAGTGGAACCGCCTGTTAACCCTATGAATCGCAACCCTAAGCAAGTACCATTTGCTGCTTTGCTTCCTACTTTAATGAACCAACTCGATAAAGATAGAGCACTGCAGCTCCGCACCCTATATGCTAGACTTAAGGTATGTCTATCTTTTAAATCATTTGACCTGTTCCAAAGCTATTGCATTATCATTTCTTTCCTTCTGATACTTTTTGTTGCAGAAAAATGAAATCCCCAAAGAGGGATTCACACGACATATGAAAGATATTGTAGGCGATCAGATGCTCAGGTTGGCAGTTAGTAAACTCCAGCAGGTATTACCATTTTTCATATTTTGTCTCATGTAGTGACTGACAACCGACTTAGGGTATTAGTTTGTGAACGGAATCATGTCGGAGTTGTCCGTTTAAAATATCTGCTTGCTGGGGCTTTACATTTTTTACTTTTGTCCTTTGAATTTAGCTGAATCCAAAGAGTATTGGTTTTTTTTATTAGCTTGAATGCAGATAGAATGATCTGAAATGAACTACAACTGGTGATCTTTAAGTCAACTGATTGTTAGAATATATACTTCTATCAAGATTTATCTTTTGTTTTTTTCGCCAAATTCAGGCTGGCATCCTTCACAACACTGTATATCTGATATTAGTTTTATGGCACACTTTCTAATCATCCTTCATGATACTGTATATCTGTCATCTGATGATCTTTATCCAGTTTTTAGTTGATAGGAATTTTTTGTTGGTTAATATTTTTCCAGTTACTATTTGTTTGGGTTGTTTTCACCTCAATGTTAAGAGATCAACAAATGTTTCAAACGTTTTTGTATCTCTTCGTGGATTCTTTTGCACATCCTTAACCATAAGGTCGTATTTGCACTCTCTGCATCTTTTCTCGCTTTCACTTCTTTCCTTTATCTTGCAGTGGCTTCATAAATTAGATACAACATATTGAATTAGGCAAAACCCTAAATTTTTCTCTATTTTGATCACAACCAAAAACTCGAGATTTACTTTTTTACAGAACACTATCTTAACAGATTATTATTCTTTTCTAAGGTTATCAGACTTATGCCTGGGTTGATTAATCATATGATTTTATTGACTTGCGTTTGTCCCACATCTCATTCACAAAACATATTTTAGCTAACATGTTAAAAGGGTGCTAAATTTATACTTTCAGAATTTGTGGTCAACTTCTGCAGAGTGGGACTAGTTCAAGTATACCAACTGATACGATTTTAATCTTATTTCGCATTATAACAATAATATGATACGAAAGTTTTAGTCCAATTCTAATTAGGATTTCCATTTTTTTTGTTCTTTCCTTATTACAAAAGGATTTCTATTTTTATTTTCTTTCCCTTTTTCGTTTGGGAGTTATCTTTTCCTATATATAAGGTTCAAGCTCGTTGCTATGCGGTTTATTGGTTTATGGAACCAAAGTTATTCTCTTTGGGAGTTCTTACTCTGTTCTGTTTTCTACTATTTTAATGAAGGGTTTGCTTTTTGAACTGGGTTCTTAATTCCAACAAAACTTGTGTAAACCATTGAAGCATTTGACACATTGAGTCTAGATTCTTCTTTATTTGTAATTTGTGCTCATTGTTTTCAGGTGAACTATAACCAGGGAAAAATTGGAATTCAAGCTCCTTCTACTGGTATAAATTATTCACTAATGCATTCTTTTTATTTTTCTTTCACCATTATCATAAAGCTTCTATACTCTCCGTAGATATATCCTATTATTTCCATGCAGGAGCCAATATCATACCTGATTAAATCTATTCATTCGCAGAAATCAATAATCAAAAATCTCAGTCTGATCCTCGTGCAGTCCACCTTAATCAACTACCGTCCTCAGCTTCAGGCACCTTAGGCAGTTCAGTTCCGGTGCAGGGACTTACCAAGCATCCGCAGCACCAGATGCAGCATCCACCAAGTTCTTTTCCTATGTATACTACCTCTGGTAGTTTTCACACATACCCAGGTCCAAACACCAATGCTTCTGGTTCCTCGTTGAGACCGCACCTTCATGATTCCCATATGAGACATGTGGGACATAACCAGACTATGGGATCAACTGGTCTTGGAGGACCGCCCCAGTCTACCTCAAACATGATGACTATGCCTAAGTTTGAGAGGCCAAGTGCTGTAAATGATCCGAATAGGGTTCAAGGTGGGGCTACATCGCACTTCCAGAACAGCTCATCATTGCCTCTAAATTCTGCACCTGGTCAAGGATCATCAGTGTCCCATGTAAAGCAGGAATCAGTTGATCAAAGTTTTGAAAAGAATAATGCAGCCTCAATGACTACGAATGAGGACTTAGAGAAGGAGTCCTCCAGAATGGTTTTATCCACACCTAACAACATGGCACCTGCAAGCTCTGTTTCTCCTTCCATGACAACTCAACTAGACGCTAGCACAACAGTAAGAGATCTATTAATATCTAGTTTTCTTATTATTAAACTCATTCTCAACTGTTCTTGTTTGCCTCTTCTCTTTGAGCTCCTGGGCCAACCATGGCGCTTCAACAGCCCTTGCATATTTTCCTTGTTATTTCCGACAACCTCGGCATCTATTGTTTTCCTGTTTTTGGTTTTATAATTCCTAATGTAAACAGTAAATGGAAAATTTTTAATTGGACAGTCTCTCTCATTGACATTGTTTGTGTATCCATCAGATGAATTCTCGGGGCCCATTGGGAACCTCTCAAGGAGGACTTAATAATGCTAGGATGCCACCCAAAAAGCCTTCTGTTGGTCAGAAAAAACCTCTTGAGACATTAGGTTCTTCACCTCCACCACCAAGGTAATTGATCTGCTCAGGCTAAGAAACAGGGAACAGTTTTCTTAAGTCACTCTTTCTTCTTTAGCCACTTAAAATTATAATAGAGAGTTCTGCTGTATGGATTTTTGCAGCTTGAAACACCTTTCTATTTGAGTCCCCAAGTAAAATAAAATTATAATTGTTTTGCATTGATCAACTTGCAGCAAGAAGCAAAAAGTAGCAGGGAATTCTATGGATCAAAGTATTGAACAGCTCAATGATGTCACCGCAGTCAGTGGTGTTAATCTCAGGGTGAGTATCCTGGTAGCTTCAGTTTTCAATTTGAAGCTGGATGTAGATTACTGATTAAATCATTTTTTTTTGTCTGCATTTGGTTTAGGAAGAGGAAGAACAATTATTTTCTGGGGCCAAGGAGGATGGTCGTGTTTCCGAAGCATCTCGGAGAGTTGTGCATGAAGAAGAAGAAAGATTAATTTTGCAGAAACATCCTCTGCAGAGAAAGCTGGCGGAACTTAGTGGGGATACTTCCCATATCTTCTTCTATTTTAATTTCTATTTATTGAATCACTTGGATAAGAAGCTTACATATGGTTTTCATATCTGGCAGTGGCGAAAGCCGGTTTAAAGCAGATAAGCAATGATGTCGAACGGTGCTTGTCTTTGGTGAGATGTCAACTTCTTGTGCATTGTTTGCATATAGTACTTGAGCTTCTTTTTCCCCTTTTTCTCATGTATTTGTGCTTTCAGTGTGTGGAGGAAAGGATGCGAGGACTATTATCCCATATAATTCGGTTGTCAAAGCAGGTCAGTCTAACTTTCTCTTACTACCTGCTTCAACATTTTTTGATATATTCTTTCTGAAGCTAAAAATGCTTCTTCAGCGGGTTGATGCTGAGAAATCTAGACACCGGACTTTGATCACATCAGATATTCGGCTTCAAATCAACGAAATGAATCAGAAGGTGAAGGAGGAATGGGAGAAGAAACAGGCAGAAGCAGAAAAGCTTAAGAAACCGAGTGAGGTCTGTTCTGAGCTCATTATCTATGTTATTATTTTTACTCTGGCACACAGACATTGTAAAATTTGTTCTTTTTGTTGCAGAGTGAAGAAGGTGATGGTGGAGTTGACAGTGAGAAGGAGAAAGAAGATAATCGTTCAAAGGGTGTGAAGGTATGGATAAATTAATAATACATTCTGGAGCTACATTAAATTACCTTTGCAATTTTCTTATAAAAGTGGTTTCGACATGTGAAGGTAAATAAAGAAGATGACGACAAAATGAGAACGACGGCTGCAAATGTTGCTGCTCGTGCTGCTGTCGGAGGAGATGATGCGTTCTTAAAATGGCAATTAATGGCTGAAGCTCGTCAGAAATCTGTATCTGAAGCTGGTAAAGATGGGAATCAGAAAACTACTTCAGGTGGAGGTAAAAACTCCAAAGACAGGCAAGATGGTGGACGACGGTTTTCTGGAACTGGTGAGTCCATTGTATAACCGTTTTTTCACTTAAGAGTAAAGTATCAGGAACAAGAACCAAATTACGTTTCCCGCAGCAAAGCCGTATGAATAAAACTCAAAGCTTGTCCCTCGGTTGAAAACCGATAAACCCTTCTCGAAAGCATGAAATGCTGCTGGCGTTAGCTAAGAGTCTAGTTGTGATGTTTGTCTGTTGAGTTAGTTCCTTACGGTTTTGTTTGCGATGATAATAAGCTCTGGATTCTTGTTTGCAGGTGGTCGAAGAGTAGGGAAAAACCAAGGTTCGTCGGTTCAACCGAAAGTGGTGAGGACAATCTCTGTGAAGGATGTGGTTGCTGTTTTGGAGAGAGAGCCGCAGATGTCCAAATCTACTCTAATGTATCGACTAATTCAATAGAAAGCAGAATCATTATATTTATAAGCTTCTGCTGATAATCTAATCGTCAAAGCCCAAGTTATTTTTATACCATTGTGTCTGTTGTATTCATCGTTTTTCATGGCCATTTGAACCCAAACGTCAATTTACAATACAACCCCTAAAGAGTCAAAACTCAATCCTTTGCATCCAAAACAAAATTGTAGAGTGTAGATATTTCAAAATCATTGAAAAACAATACCACTCTTATTAAATAATATATCTCGTATTTGTAGATAGATCCTAATTTATTATTACTTCAAGTAGTGAAATCAATGTACTGACCCTTATATGTAAACAACAACCAGATATTTTTTTTATAAAACATCCGAATCATTTTTAAGAACTTGTCACTAGGACTTTAGGACCGTTCCTTAATTAAAATAGGATAAGAATGCATGGGACGGGTAATGTTAAAGTCCTGTTGTGGCTTAGATTCCACGATATCTTGCATAGACCAATATCCCGGGCAGTGAATGGGGGCCTATTTCAACCAATCTCGAATGCTTCTACAAAGACTACTAAGGCGGGTTTGAACGGACTAGTGCCCAATCGGAGATTTTGGTATAGCTGAACGAAAGAGAGGTGATACCTCCCACATAAGGTTGGAGCACCTTTTAGTGTTAGATGTGTGTGTGAGTAATCATGTCATGGATTTTGTGTGGGTAATCACACAAAGCCATGGTTGTGCGTTACATTATTTTACTAGGTTACTTGATTTCTTGATCTTTCATCCTTGTACTGTCCATTTTGGATTTCGTTCGATCCCTTTTTCACTATAAGCAATTCTAGTCATGGTCAAAAACCGGGTCTTGAGTAGCTAGGAGCCGGTCCTGAAAATTAATGGGCCACAAACTAAAAATTTAGACCTGTAATTAGTAACAGTAAAAAAAGAGTAATATGTAGAAGGAAAAGTTTGAAACGTCCATCTTAACGCTTCTACATAAAGTAGAGATCAATTCTGCTAGTGACAGTTTTGGAAAATTACCACCCAAAAATTTATTTATTATATTTACGGCCGCAAGCATGATTTGGCCCGCTTGTACTCAAGGCCGGACATGGGCATGGGCATGATGTTTTTGTCATGGAGCCCTTCGCGACCAACTGTATTTAGGATTTTCCATGGAGGTGAGTCAATACCACGGTCTCCAAAGCTTTTGCATGTCAAAGAGACCGGAGGCCCTCATATACTCGTATAGATGGCAGGCTGAATAGTTCGTTGGTCTCTTTCGGATGACAGTGACACTAATTAATTGACTAGTTTTCCATGTATCGCAGTCTAGTTGACGACTAGACCCCAACATAATCGATAAAATTTAATATAGTCGCCATGACTTATTGATAGTTCTGGTAAATAAATAATAAAAATATATATAATGCTTAATTAGTTCGAATAATATACGTAAACTCGTGAAATTTGTCTACTCTAAACCATATATTCAAGTAAAAGAATGAGTTTAAAAACTAAAAAGATCACGCGGACCTTATTGTGGTTTTGTGGTCCTCCCCACCTTCTGCGACTCGCACCTCTTTCCCATTTACTTCTTCACATAAAATACTCATTTTCACTCTATCCAATGCCAAGAAAACAACGTTGTAACTACTATGAACCCATAAATATAATTAAAACACGAATTTCAAATATGTTTATATTATATCATCGTAACTTTTTTGGATTCGATCTTATCTATATGCATATAATCCATTTTGGAATTGCAAGGATAGACTAGAAGAAAAATAAACTAGGAAACGTTGTCATACTAATATTAGATGAAACAATAATAGTAGAAAAAAAAAAGTAACCCCAAAGACTAATTATAGTTTTTGTTTTGGTGTTTTGGATGAACTTGTAAAGAACAAAAAAAGAAAAAAAAAACAATAATGGAGCAAATTTTCTTTACTAGGGTTTGTTTTTAGTAAATATGTGGTGGTGAGTAAATACAATCCTAATGCAATCATCTTATAAACTAATTATAAAAAAAACGATATAAATAAGAACAAGATTTTCTAGTAGTACATATTGATTTTGAGTCATGCAACACTTAAAAATCTTTTACAATTCGATACTAATCCATCACAAAAGTACCAAACTTTCTAATATAAAACGGAAAAAAAAACTAGTGAGACAGAATAAGATGCTACATAGATTGATCAATCCAAGAGATCAAGTTTCTTCCTTTGCACCATCATTCCTTCCTTCTTCTTCCCAGGTTCTTCTTTGATCGTCGACAAACCTTGAGAGAGAGAAAAACAATTTATTCATCTCATGAAATTTTAAATTGTTTGATATATCTAGAAGAGATCCAAAAACGTATATTCATACATATGTATAAGAAAATGAATATACCAGTTAAGTGATATTTCTCCTTGTGCATCATTCTTCTAAGCTTTGATTTTCTAGCCTCTTCAAAAAGCCACGTAGCCTCCATCTGTTTGCTGATCATTTGAGCAGCATGGTAAGGGATATTACCACGAAAGCAGCGACCATTGACGAACATGATACAATCCATCAAGCTTTCTCTTGAAAGCCCTTTGATATCATAAGCTCTTGACCTTGTCCAAAGACTCTTACCATGTGAATTCACTGGTTCCGACAAGCAAAGAGCTCTTGTGCAATTACTTATAGCCGCATCTAGATCTCCAAGAAGTAAGTAACACTCTCCTCTTTGGCTATATAGAATCATTCTCTTTCTCCTAAGTTTCAAAGGACATAAGCCTATCGCTTCGTTGTAGCATTTAATAGCTCCCTCTATGTCTCCTACACAAAGCAATTGGTTTGCTTGCTGCTTAATCAAATTTACAACAACACTTGTCTCTGTCAGAAATTCTTGATTCTTACTCATACACTTTCTCTCCCTCTTTCTCCTCTCTACTTTATTCCTCCATAGTTCCTTCAAAGCCTTTTGGGCCTTGTGAGAGTAAATACAACCTTTCTTTGTGTGGTAATGCATTAAAAGAACCTTAGTTATTCTATCACCTAGGTTTTGTCTGACGTTAAGAGCTTTAAGCTCAACTAGGTCTACTAGATAAAACAAAGACATCTCTAAGACTTTGTACCTTGTGTCTTGATCTTTAAGAAGCAGCAAAAGGCAATCTATACCCATGTATTGCCAATCATCAGAAGACCGGGAGAGATTGCATAGACTAAGTATCATTTCTCTCGATCCCGATACATGTCTTCGCCCTTGTTTACTATAGCAAATAATCCGGATTAGACCGATTCCTGCGGGGGAAGTGTGGTTAACCAATCCACCCCACATTTGGCTAAGCTCCTTGAGAAAGGTTTTGTTGCAAATAAGAGAAATACACCTTTGCTTGTAAGCAAAGCAATTGAGTAGATGAAGTGACCAGCATTGGAGCTGACTTGCCCATTCCTCGGCTTTTCGGTCTTCCATCTCTAACCCTCCAAGTCCTCTAGTAAGCAAGTCACTGTGATACCTAACTCTTTCTTCTTTTACTTGTACACTCACAAACTCTTCATACACAACATCAACACATGTCGTTGCAATCTCCATGGCTAATCTCACCACTTCATTCTCGTAAGCAGCCACTGCCTCAAACGTTGTCTCGTAGCTCGCCAAGTGACCTAACGCCCTAACCACGACTCTTTGCTCGACCCAACTCATTTTACCTCTCATAAGCTCAAGCAATGGAGCTATGACCCCAGACTCCACAGCTTTTGCAGCAAACTCAGAGTTCTTCATGGTGTAAGATCCAATGATATGAGCAGCATAGTAAGGAACAAACACATTTTGGCCAGTCATTACCCATTCTACATCCTCAAGACCTTTCTTCATCAACCTTGTCATGCACTCAAAGACCCCGAGAGTCGGTAACTCGGGGTTCTCGGGGTCAGCCATGGCGTATCTCCAGATAAAACTGAGTGTTAGAGCAAGCTCTGTGTCGTCTCTTGTCATGTGCATATCTCTCAGACATAACTCTAACCATGCTTTTCTAACACAAGGGTCTTTTTCGTCCATGGCACAGAAGAAACAACACGGTCTGGAACCGACAACAACGTGGGTCCTGGCCATCTTGTTTGTATTCCTGCAAGAGAAGTGGTCCATGAAAGATCTGAGATTTGCTTGATCTTTTTGGCTGTTCTTGCTGATTAAAGAAGGTTAAAAACAAAAAGGGGAAATAGGGTTTTGTATGTGATCCAGGTGGATATGCAGAGATCAAAGTGGGTTTTTGTTTATTAAAAAAGTGAACTATAGTGGCCTAGTAATGTGATGACATCTAGCGGCCGCATAGGAAAGTGAAAAATGCAAATGGTCCTTTCCGTTTAAACAATTCAAATAATTGTAAATCGTATAGTATGTAACAGAGACATTTTGTCCACTACTTTATATTGGTAGTGTTCTCTATGAATTTACCTACAAAATTCAACTTGACATAATGCATTTTTAAAGACATAATGCATTTTTAAAAAAATTGGATAGGCTCTCTATAACGATATAATTGTATGCCACTTGATACCTCTCCAACCCACCTCTATATTTGTCTCTAAACTCTATTTTAGAGGCAAATCTACTCCAACCCACCTCTATTCTCACCTCTAAAATAGAGATCTCTATTTTTTTCTCTATATATACAGGATCATATAGAAAATCTCTATATTTTCCCCTATAAATAGAGTTAAACTTTTTAGAGAAAAAAATAGAGGAATACATTGGAGTAAAGATAGAGAAAACTCACCTCTATTATAGAGATAGAGCTAAAAATAAGGAAATACATTGGAGATGGTCTTAGACTGTAAAATTGTACTAGATAATTGTTTCTCAATTTTGAAAATATGATAATTAAGTGGTGATGCTTATATTTCTCATCTCGCATGTATAGTAGTATTATATGATTTAAGATATAATCTCTTTGTTTTAAACAATAAAAACAGAATTCAATTCTAGAGAAAAAAAAGAAGGGCTGTTGAGTGACACACATCAACATTTTTGAAGATTTTTTTGGATATTAACAACATATGTTTGTGAAGAACTTTAGGTCTACCCGTTTTGCAGATGGTCTTTAGAACATCGAATGCTTCCCGAATACTTTATGACACTCAAGTTAGAAAATCGAAAATGGTGGAAATGAGAAATGAAGTTTGAAGGTTTAAAAAAGTAGAAAATAGTGGAAATGAGAAATGAAAAAGATGAAATCGTGGGATAGAGTTTTCGATTTGGTCCGGTTTGGTTGAACCAGATTAAACCAAATTTACTTTCGTACTTTGGCCTGGTACTGATCGGGCATCTGACTGATCGGTATTGAAACAGTTTGATACCGGTAGATTTAAGTTCTATACCGATCGGTTTCAATTGTTTTGGAACTCCAAAAATTCACATATTATGCATTCAATACCTGTTCCAAACTCATTCTCATAATACTTCACAATATTACAGAATGATACTACTTATAAAACGTCAAAAATAAGTAAAAAAGAAAAATCCTAGAATAGATAATTAAGTTTAAAAACACCAAAAGAAATAAAAAAAACGAAAAACTCCTATGGGTTGCCTCCCAATATACAACTCTTTTTGGAGTCCCTACTTTGACATTATGGAGGTCATTTCGGGGTTGAGACCAAAGCAAGCACACGAAGAATTACATAGATTATATTAATCTAGAACAACAATAAGAGTCACTGGGACTCAGGTTTTTTCTTCTATAAAATAAAATAGAACAAGAATATACAAGAAATCATAAAACCTAGGGAAATCATCAAACAGTTATAAAAAACATGTAAGTTCGATTATGATAATGAAGGTTGAACTTGAATTACTATTGTTAAATTATTTTATTGGTGTTGTAGCGATATGAAAGCAATTACTTAAAGACTAAATGTTTTGTTTGTTTTAAGTAATTCTAACAAGTTTTAGGATATATACAAAAAAAAAACTTGTTAGGATCTTACAGCTTGTTAGATTTATTTAAAACAAAGCTATACCTCTCTTCGAAGTTAACGGTTGATGAGAACCAGCGTTTCCAGCTTTGTTAAAAAGCCCAATGTGACCGAAAGGAGCCATTGGCGGCTCAAAAACAAGCACAGTTCAACCGAGGCAGCAAATGCGAATCTTGTATAGAGATAAAATTACATTTAAAATATATAGAAAATGATTTTTATGACATTTAAAGTATATAGATATTTTTTTTTACTAATTTTTTATATTTAACAAATATCACATTATTATTTTTAATATCTAAAATATCATGAACATCGCAAATTTGCGACTGATTTGTGATGGAATATGCCCTCGCAAATTATCCCCAATTGCAACCCTGTTATAAAAATACCTACATATTTGCTATCGGAAAAATGTCATTTAAATTATCGGTTTACCATTTTCGTTGATTAAAACATGAACCCTGGGTGCAAAAAAAAAAAAAAAAAAAAAAAAAAAAAGCATGAACCCTGAACCATGTGATTTAAATCCTCAATTTTATGTGGACATGGTGTTTTAAATCCTCAATTTTATGCTGACTTTAATGACGAATTTAATAACGAATTCTCGTGACTAAGCCAATCGAGGCACAACGTTAACTGGCTAAACGGAGCAACCAGACGATGTCATCGCATATTTTTTGAAGAGGAAGACGGAAACCCTGTTGGTGTAGAAGAAAAATTAGGTGATGGCTTTAAAGTGCCAGTTATGCGATGACATCTTCTTATTGATTCGTTTAACCAGTTAACGATGTGCCTCAGTTGACTTTGTCAACGAGAATTCATGATTAAAATGAAAATCAACATAAACTTAAGAATTTAAATCACCAGATCTATAGGACATACTTTAAACCAACAAAAATGTTAAACTGATGATTTAAATGACATTTTTCTCATTTGCTATCCCATACTATCACATATATATTTACGAAAAAATAGTCACATTGCAAATATCTTCAGTTGTGAGCTATTAGTATGCCATCGGAAATTTGGGAAACTTGTGAGTACACATCATTCCAAAGCCGTATCAAATTTGCGACCGTGTACTATTATATAAATTTTGTCGCACCCTATTAATTTTGAAAGCAAATCCGTTACTATGCCCTATATGTTATGGAGCTGCTACATTTTCTTATAGTAAACAAACATACTATTTTCTTGTAATATATTAAGACAATGTACATAGCTGATTTTTTAAGGGTATCAGAAGCCCAGAAACAATATATTAATGGGTAAAACAATTCATTTGGGCCTGAGCCGTATCACTGGAGTGATACTTCTGATACCCAGTCTCTGATGACGTGGCGGCTCGTGATTAGTCGGGAAAACGCGTTTTTGTGGGAAAGAAGAGAAAAAAAAATTCATTCTTCGTTTTTGTGGCGGCTCGTGATTAGTCGGGAAAACGCGTTTTTTTAAGTTTTTTTGAATTTTATGTTTTATTTGGCTTAAGTATATTCTATGTTTTTTTATTGTAATATTACCTTTTGTAATCCTATGTTTTTATATATTTATTTTTGATTTTGTAATTTTTTTTTTTATGATATTTAAACCGGTCTCACCAATGGAAACATATTTAGTAGGAGTATCATAAAAAATCTCAAACAATAAACAAACATTATAAATAATACTAAAAAATTCTTAATGATACTTTATGAGTATCACCTATAACCCCTGTTCTAAAAATTCCCGCCTAACCCGATTACTCCCCCCTTTAATCGCTAGGCCCACCCTATCCGCCTCGATTAATGACTAATCCCCTAAGAGCATACGCAGTGCAACATCTCTTAAAGAGATGTTGATAATATATTTATTATTTTTTTTTTTAAGAGAGAGAGATTTGGTTATTAGTGGAGAAAGAGAGAGGAGAGAGTGAGAGATAGATTTTGTCACGTGGGACTTACAACCGGGGTGTAAGTTCACACCCTTATTTCGATTCTCAGACAACTTTTGCAATAAAACATGTTATTTTATTACTTACACCTGTGTATCGAGTACGCCATTGCGTATGACCTAAAGAAATCAGTTACCCGATTACTCACCGGCTAATCCGATTACTTTCCGCCTAATCCGATTACTCTCCGCCTAATCTTACATATCCCGATTATTTTTAGATTCTAAGTATAAAAAAACTTTTTATTTTTGTTATTCAATCATTTATAAATTAGGAGTTTGTGATGTTTTACAATAACTTATGTTCAAACTTTAATAAAAATCATAAATTTGCAATAAAAATCATAAAAATTTGTCTCAAAAATACAGTTTTATGTGTTTACTGCAATTATGAAAACAATATTAGATTAATATGTTTTAAAAATATTAAAATAACTCTAAAACTAATCCCCGATTAATCCCCGATTTTAATCCGATTTTTCGATTAATCGCTAGACCCATACTTTCATCCAAGTGCAACATCCAAGTACATTTTTATTAACCATGCTCTTAAGTACACTTTTTTTTTTATCAATCTGCTCACATACTATTTTACAACATATGCTTAACATTACAGTATAGCTAGGGAGGTATTTTTTAAAAGTTTTGATGCTTAAACATGCAGTGTGTACATTATTATATGTTTGGTCAAATTGAGTTAAAAAAATTGCTTAACAATACAGTATAGCTAATAAGGTTTTTTTGAACATAATGCACTTAATATATTACAAAAATGTAACTATTCCTCGAAAAAATCGGGCAGATCTTACTTTATGTACTTGACCATGAGTTTGGCAATAGCTTATACTCTGAATCTCGAGATCACAAAGAACTCTCAGAGTCAATGAACTTAGTCTTTTGGCATTCATTAAAAAGTGTGATTACTCTCACAAAAGGGATATCGAACATATCAATGGTCTTGGTAATAAGGCTTTTTCATGGTGACTCAAGTGTTTTGGCTTTCCTAACAAATCTTTGATGCAAATCATTTAGCAAAAATCACAGTAAGATAGACCAATTAAAGGGTACATAGCCTTCCTTTCATTCGGATCCACCGACATTCCTAAACTCAATATATCCCTTGATTTTCCTTGGTATTATCTACCATTACATTCGGGTATAAAGAAATCAGATGAACTGGATGTTGCACTTGGGTGAAAGTCTGGGAAGAGCCATTAGGTTCAATCTCAAGTCGTTATTATCTGCCTCTTGTTGGACGCCAATTATGACAAGTTCAAGACATTTCAATTTCCCCAAGAAAAGCCTCATTTGCTCAATCTCCCTACGAGTTCCTCCATATCCTGAGATCTCTAGCACCTTCACTGGCATTGTTGTTAAACAAGACACTCTCGATAATTCACACGATCGACATAAACAAGCTTTGAAGTTCCTCTTTAGATGGAAGCAAGGGCACACGTTTCCACATCTACCTGTAGCTCGATGCACGAGACCCTGAAATTTATATAAAACAAATTTGACATATATGTATAATGGCAAAACAAGATAACAATTTGTCCAAAACGATATTTGATACCTTGATGACTAAAGTTTGTAGGTTTGGGGCATTCTTGAGCAGGCGGGGTACTCCTTGCCAGCCTTTATCCTTGTCACTCTCGAATGATAAAGTAACGAGGTTGTTGAACATCACGTAGAAGTTACAGCAGAAATATATCGCCTAATATATATATATTATCGAAACCATAAGCATATATATATATATACCAAAACAGTGAATGGAAGAGGATGTAGAGAAACTGACCTCAAGAGAATCAGGAGACAAGTGAAGGGTCTTAACGTTGGGGCCTATAGCCCCAAGAAGATGCGAAACATTACCAAAGGTACGAAAATCATTCATTGGAAAATAGTCGTCGTCATAGTCATCATACTGAATAGTAGACTCCCATAATCGAAGATCTAGTCTAGCTTCGACAAGCGAGTCCATATCGCACATAACATAAAAGTTGGAGACATAACTAGAATAGTCAAAGTAGACAAGATTAACAGTATCGAGCCAAACCTCTTCTTTTTTGTAAAAATTTGTATACTTGGGAACATGGGAATAAATTACAAGCCGCTTCATGAAATCACCTGACACAAGTCCAGTCCAACTTGGCGGGAATGGCTGGCCATCTCCATTACGTATGAACACTTCTTCCAGCCCCGGGCACGAAGCCATGAGATTATCAAAATGAGCATGACAAATTGCAACATCGCCGAGAGAAAGCGATTTGAGCGATGGGAAAATTACAAAACCCTCTTTCTTAGGAACATATTTAATACGACATCCATTGGAAAGTGTGAGCTTAACCAATGTCTTGCTCCAGAAAAAGAAATCTGCATCTCTATCTATCTGATGACGACACCGCAAGTGTAGTTCCGATAAACCGCGTTGCATCGCGGTGCGAATCCAACCGTTAACACGAGGCTTTTCATAGCGGCCATTCACAGAGAAACTCTTGATGGGACATGTGTTTAACAGAGCAACTGTTTTGTCAACGAAATCAGAGAAGAAGACACACCTTGCTTCTTCGTCGTCTCGTTCGGGGTAAAGAAAGATCGAGTCATCAAAGTTTAGGCTGTCTACAAGAGGTAGCAAATTCCTCCAACTCTTGGACAGAACCGATGTGGAAACAGCAACTTTTGTGGGAAGTGAAGACAGTATTTTGCCAAGAATCTCATCTGGCAAACTGCTGATTAAATCTCTAGAAACTATAGAGACAGACTCGAATTGTCCTTTTTTTCTGCCTGCAAAAGTATTTTACAAAATTACAAAGCTATTAGGTTTGAGAACAAAGTTTTTCTATTGCTAAAACATCAGTCTCTTACATCAAAATAATACTTACGTTTTAAGATCGAAGCAAGTCCCATACAGTTAAAATTGAAGAAGAAATACAAGCGTGGATAATCAAGATGCAGAGTTTTTAGGGACTTGAGACAAATCTGAGAAGGGACAACGACAAAAGCAAGAAACCTAAGTATCAAGGTCTCTAGTGTATACAACAAGGTTGGAAGGAAATTGAATGGCCTATTACTCTTCTTATTCGTGGGGTACACGTCAAGTAACAGCTTACGCAAATTGTGTCCAAATTTAACATTTTTGTTCTTAAAGAAAAATAGAAAAACTAAAATAAAAAGAGAGATATTTACATATACTAATTTATATGTGTATATCTAAATTTTTTTCAGTTTATTTTTCTTAACTAAAAAGGAAAATTAACAATTTTCTTTTAACATGTGTTATTGGTCAATTAAAATTTAGTATGAAAAGCCGCTATGAAAAATAAACGTCATATCTAAACGCTTATCTAAACTTATAACGTTTAGATATGACGTTATAACTAAAACGTTATAAATTTTAATTAACGTCATATCTAAACTCTTGATGGGACATGTGGCTTTTCCTTTTCCTCCATTGTTTAGATATAACGTCATATCTAAACGTTAATTAAAATTTATTTCCTTTTCCTCTATTGTCTCTTCGAAGCGTTTAGATACCGAAGCACAAGAGAAACTTCAAATAGAAGAGTCAAAACCAAAAATAAAGATATGACGTTTCTACTCTCTTAAATGGATAAATTGGGATAAAATTAATTTAAATTTAAATTAAACAAACATAAATTTAATTATTCCGTGTTGACAGATTTATTGTTCTGTCATCTTTTATGGCGGCACAAACAAGAAAGATAGTTTTAAGTTGTATGGTGTTGGTGTTGGTAAAAATATATTGGTAGTTTAAAGTGTAGTGGAATTCTCTCGAGGTTTATTAAAGTACTACCCGATGAAACTTTCAAGGTTAAAAATGTGACTTTAGAAAATCATATTTTAAACCTTCAAAGTATCACCGGTTAACACTTAAAACCTCGACATAATTTCACTAACACTATGAACCATAAAAATAATTTTACTAACATTATAAACCTTAAAACTAGCTTTCCTATTTGCGCCACCATAAAAAATGATGGAACATTAACGTTCATTAACGCAGAATAGTTAAATATTCGTTTATTTAAGTTTAATTAATTTTATACTATTCAGTTTATTATAATCAATTAAATAGTTAAAATGTATAGCAAAATAGAATGTGTAAGATTGAAAATTTGTTTTTATTAAACTATTAAATTAAATATTAGAAAATGTGTGTGGATTACTATTTACTATTCAAAATTTAAATATCATCAATAAACATTTACATTTATATCTTACACCCGCCTATTTAGGCGGGCCTTATCTAGTATATCATGTACCTTGGTATTAATTATTTTAAAAAATAATTGATAAAATGAAATATTTGATCATTTTATAGATTAGATGCTAATTTGAATATGGTATTTCATGTTTAACAGCTAAATTTTTGGTTCATCTACAATGGCTACAAAGCAAGACATACACATAGCCATTGTTCTTAATAGAGAAAACCTAGAAAGGTAAATAAAATTTTAAATGAAATTCTTGAAACTTTTATAGCGCTCTTGAATGAGAATGCAGAGCATTTTAGTAACAAATTTTTAACTTGTCTAGTCTAAATTCAAAAACAATCATTAAGATCATTTTAAAACGTGACAAAACTCAAAATATTTAGATCAACCAAACCCTAAGTAATGAAGCAAAGCTTTGTTTCGCACAAACCAAACCCTCGCGTCCTAAGCAAAGAACTGAGAAGCATTCCAACCATTTTTCTCTCTATTTTCTTTCTTTCATTGTACATCAAAATAGCGTAATAACTACATCAATTTACTTGAAATCAAAAGTGTCTTTAATTTGAGGAATGTTGTTTCCTGTGTTCTGGGGTTTGATTTCTTTCTATCAAATATATAAATATAGATAAAGAGAGAGATGTATAGAGACTCTGAGTGATGGGGAGGCTCAAGCATTAGATGTGTCAGAGGAGAGAGGCTGAAGTTCTTGTTCTTTAATAGTAGCATTTACAGGCTCATACGTAGCTTCTTCTTGCTTTCTCCGTCTCCACACCAATGCAAGTTTGATCATCACAGAAGTAACAAGCAACGATATCATCGCTCCTCCCACCACCCCGAGTAAGTGTTTCTCCCACCAGCTCCTGCTTAAAGCACCAGGTTAGACCCGTAAACAGATAAAATCTAGTGAACCTGCGCGATGATAGATATGAGGGAAAAGAAACATACTGTTTTGCCTTTTGCTCAGCTTTCCACTCTAGTAACTTGTAGCTTCCAAATTGTCCAGGTAGGCGCAATCGGTTTTCTTTCAGAAGCAACATTATGTTCTGCAATCACATATAATGTTATCGGCCCATGAAGATACTTAAACCATCTATTATCATAGACCATCATTTGTTAGGAAAAGAAGAACTACCAATGCCGTAGTATTGGAAATGTACTCGGATGATTGTGGGGGAAAGACTCCCCATTTCAAGCGATACTCATTTCCACTGGACGAGAAATTTAGCAAACGAACCTAACAACAGAAAGAGCCATTGGGACTATTCAATCACAACAAAGCACCTCAGACAGCACAGCTAGTGGAATGAATGTTTATAAGCTTGCCTGTGAACTTTGAATGTCTAACTCATGGGCAATATAATCAGCGATCTCTGAGAACTTGGGCTTCAATGAAGAATTGTTCACACTAATTGACACTTCGAAGGTAATAACTCCAACCCGTAAAACACCTTCACGTTCGTAAGATATAAGTCAATAACAGGTTAACACCAAAATAGAAAAGAAAAGGATATTCCGATGTAGCCAATTACAGTGCTATAGATGACATTGATCAGACTCTGGGTAATAAGTTATAAAAACCAATTTATTTCAAATGCTAGGAGTAATTTTACTTTTTCATTGCAAGAAAACCAGACTTTTAAGGCGGGTAAAGAGTCTTACAAAAGATTTTAGCAAAAAAAGCACGCCCAAGAAGTGTTTCGATTTAGCAAACTTTTGAATATTTTATTCAGAACATACAATGTCAGATATAAGCAATGTTCGTTTGCAGTCGCTAACGACCAGCGACTACGACAGCGACCAGAAACATAGAGACATACAAGGCTAAACTACCTGGAAGATCAGTGGTAGGAGACTCGCTTTTAGCAGGGCTTGGGGAAATGTTAGAACTTTTATTTTGGGAAATTGGTGAAGTAGGTGCAGGAGATTCTGGTGCCGCCAGCCTCCTCCATAGATCAGAACAGTTGGTCTTCAGAAACCCGAGCTTATCATTCTCACGATCATAAGTGACAAGAGTATTGCGGACAACAATTCCTGATCCAAATGTTAAAGTACCAAGTTTATACTTGTCACATGGAAGCCAAATCCAGCAGAAATTGAACTTGATTTGAAAAGACTTGAAAATACATGCTCTGCTTTGAAATTAAAGCATACATGATAAATGCTTTCATGGAACATAGGAATGCATGCAAGATATGTAAATCGAGTCTGCATACACTACCTCCAAGGAGTGTTGTTGAGTCTCTATCAGGAAAGATTCCAAGGCAGTATGCGCCTCTAACTTTAGTGTGCTATAAGCATGTCAGGAAGACAAATGGAAACTGTTAATACTTGCCTGAACGATGAAACAAGTACTTAAAAAGAAAAATATGAAGCCAATTCACTTTACCAAGTTATTACCCTGAATAAGTAGTTCTCGGGAGAAAGAATCAGTTTCTGACCATTTCCGAATTCCATATCGATCTCAGGAAAAAAATTGTGTATCTCAGCCACATCCCTGAATGGTATTCAAAAATAGTATCCTTAGACAACATATAAATTTGAAGTTCCGTAATATTGATGTTTAAACAAAGTAACAAACCTTCCAGCGCCAGAGAAACAAACATCATCATAATTTGGGTCTGGGCCATGGATCCGTTTGAGAGATGGAATTTCCTTAATGATCTGCGATACCACATAATCACATGCAATTATAATAAGGAAGAAACATCAACATTTGTCTCTTACAATTTCTATTCTAAGCTCAAAAAGCACAATCTTTTGTCGAAGGTCATCCATAAGGCATGACAGGAATAACAACATAGCTCAAGCAACTCACTAACAGAATATAAGTTATTAATGTCTTATGGATTATGATGCATGTGCTTGTATACTAGGATAGAGAATAACACAAACAGAAAGCTCTTATTATCAATGCTTCAAAGAGAAAAAAAAACTTGTGGAAACTAAAGACTCGTGAAGAGAACAGAGCTGAGAGATGAACAAACATTTTTATATGACTGAAGATATCTTACCGCATCCTTTATGGCAATAAATGCTTCCTTGGGAAAATAAGCATATGTTGTTCCACTATCCAAGACGGTTCCATGCTTTCCATTAAAGACCTTTGGGTTTAGCTTTAGAGACTTTCCAGCAACATGCATTTGTTTCAGGTCAATGTTGTAATACGGACTGCAAACACCCGAAACTACAGTGATGTTGTAAGAAGCTCGAAATCTACTCTCAAATTATTCAGATACCAACTAAAAAGCAAATCTATGAAGTTACTCTACCTGCGGAAAGGATCTGAATGCGAAAACACCATTCCAGCTGGAGGAGATATTTTCCCAAGTACCATAGCACCACCACCAACTTCCATTCCTCCATAACACAACGAAAACACATCCTCGATAACACCCTTATCAACAAGCTGATCTACAACACTAAGCTTACCACGACCCAATCCCATTATACCATCAGCACGTTGGCTAAAAAGATCACCAGTTTCCACATTCTCACATCCGAAAACAGCTCGTTGCGGAGTAAGCTGACTCTCATTACCAAAAGATATCAAATCCTCACTTAAAACCCCACTACTCGAACTCATCTCAGCATACCGTCTTTCGTAAACACATAACTTCCCGTCATCATCACAATTACAATCAGGATTACATTTCAAAGCTTTGTAACTACTAGATAACTCAGGTTGAAACTTTGGATCCTGAAAAACAGTAATAACAACAAATCCCTCAAGCAATGATACTAACAAAACCAAGCTTAATCACATAAACAAGCTTAATTCACCTGATGCTTCCCACACTGTTTACAAGTAGAGCAAGGAACGTAAGTAACAGTACTTCCAGTATCAACAATCAAAGCAAATTCTTGTGGTGGTGTTCCAATCCATAATCGTGTAGTGTAGTAGCTGCATAAAGATGATCAGGTCAAAACCTAGAAATTACACGAATCGGTGAAGAGGTAATTTGATCGAGAAGACGAACCCGTTGGAGAGGAGGTCATCGTAGAGTTTCATGTGAGCGTTAGGGAGCTGAGATTGATGAAGACGGCGGCGGCGAAAATCTTCGACTCGGGGAGGTAAGGAGGAGTAGCTAAGAGGGAAAATCATCGGCGATTCGGGTGTTAAATTGAGCTCATCGGCGGTGGTTAGATCGAAGAAGAAGATAGAGACGGTAGTGATGAAGAGGAGGAGGAGGAGGAGGGAAGCTCGATCCATTGGTGGTGGATTGGATTTAATTGAAGAACGCCGGTGGCGACGGAGTCAACTCCACCGTAGCTCCGTCGTTGAAAACTGAGAAGAGAGAGAGAGAATGAAATTGTTTCTCACGGTGGTTGTTTCATGATTCAATATTTTTATTATTGTGGTTAGAGTGACGAATAATGTAATGCCACGTAGCAGTTTGAGCAAGTCTTACGAATCATAACTCTTACCATGTCTGCTAAAAGGTGTGTGAATTGGGAGACCAGGAAATTGATAAAACGGTGCGGATCAAACACATCAAACAAAAAAAGTATAGATTAACAGGAAAATGTGTATTATGAACGCAAATTAAAGTATAACCTCTATAAATTAATATTCGATAAATTAATATTTCAATAAATCAATACATTTATTCGGGGGAAATTGTTAATAATGCCACTTTTTCAATGCCACTTTTCAAAAATACCCCTTTTTTAAAACCTTATAAAAAATGCTCTTAAAAATATAAGATTTACCCAAATATGTATGTAATATTATTAAAACATACACAAACTACATTTCTATGTATCTAAAATCTTATAAATACTTTATAAATACCTTATAAATGCATTTTAAATACCTTTAAAAACCTTTAAAATATCTTGTAAAACCTTTGGAAAACCTTAAAAATCCTTTAAAACAACTTGTAAAACCTTTAAAAACACCTTATAAAACCTTATAAATACTTGTATCGAGTCTTCAAGTAGTAGTTACAATCCATAAGTACCTTATAAACCTAATAAAACTTTATAAAAATTTCAGATTTAAAAAGGGGCATTTTTGAAAATGGACATCTAAAAGGGGCATTTTTGAAAAGGGACATGAGAAAAGGGGTATTTTTGCTAATCCCCCTTTATTCGGTCCCAAATTTGGTTTTCGAGGTAATTAGTATATCGATAAATTAATAACTCGATAAATTAATAAAATATAATAGTCTCAACTGTATTAATTTATAGAGGTTTTACTAGTGGATAAAGTATAATAAATGTAGATTAAGTGGTCTAAATTTTACTTTTAAAATGGCATAAACAAATCAAAGAAAAGTTTGACCAAACAAGATAAGAAAATACTAATATAGAAGAAACAATTATAATTGTCTTTGAAAAAACCAGTTTATTTCTAATAAAAACAATTATAGCAATATAGAAGAAAAAATTACAATTTTTTTAGAAGTTAGAAAGCAAAGGAAATTAATCAACTTTAATAAATTACTAGATAACAACCCACACTATGTGTGGGATGAAGTGATTCAAGTAAAATTATTATGATTAAAATTATTATCTGTCGTTTGTGTAAAACGAAACATGTAATAATTTTTTTGTTTTATTTAAATTTGGAACTATTTCGTATAAGAATACGTTTTACCCGTAAAATATTTGAACCTTGAATAAAGTTTCAACGTGATAAAAAAAATATTGATCAAATGTTACCATTTATGGCAATATGCCTTTCTGTATGTTATAAAGATTTCGAGATTTTGTAGTATAAAAAGAAAAAAAAAATTTACTATAAAGATTTCGAGATTTTTAATATAAAGATTTATTAATATATGATAAACAAAATATGTATGTTTTTTAATTATTAAAATAGGTTATTAATATAAATAAATAAAGCTCTCGTGATTTGTTGTTATATATAAATATGAAGATTAGTTGCCTAATTATTTGCTTTTTAATTATAATTTTGTTTTTTTATTTGTGTAATATATGTATGTATTAACTATTAAGACTAATGGCAAAATCTGTAAATTCTAGTAAAATTTGGGTAATAATTTAAATTGGTGAAAAATCATTCTGAAAGCGACATGTCAGCATGGCAGTTTAGTTAATAACATGTCAAGGTAAGGTTTATTTTTTAGAGTGCTTCTCTATTAATATATAAGAGATTTTAACAAAAAAAATTAGGAAAATTAAAAAAAATCTTAAATCCATAACACTAAAAAGTCTTTTTATTATTTATTATTCCGTTAAAACTGCCGTCCACTCCTTTTTTTCTTTTTTCTTTTCGCTTTATTCGTGATTTTTTTTTATTTTTTATAAGTTGGATTCATCGTGTCTACTATTTGTATTATATTTCTTCCAACCTCTTTTTGTTAAGGTTCAAACCTTTTTTTCACGTTGATCGTCAAATAAATTATCAAGAAGGAAAAATATTTTAATAAAGATCATTGAGTAGATCTCTAATAAAAAAAAAAGGGAAAATTCCCAAAAAAACCCTCATTTATTTTTTATTTGGCCGTTTAATACCTAATTGTTTTCGGTTGGAAGAAAAATACACATATTAATTAAATAGTATGATTTAATACCTAAAAAATTAAATATTGTTATTTTCATATTCACGAACTCACAACAAAAAAAATATTCTAATTTTACCCTTACCCTCTCAATTAATTATTAACTTTCAGATGACGTGGCACTAGTTTTTTTTTTATTTAAATAAAAATTAAATTTATTAATGTTTTATTTTATGTTGCCTAAAAATAAAATAAAATTTATATAATTATTTTATTTTAAAATTAAACATAAAAATTAGCAGAAAATCGAAAGTATTTAAAATAGTTATTTGTACAATCTTATTCCGTCTTTGCAATGTCAAAGAGACGTTTCCTCTTCGATTCTAAATTTTCTCGATTAATCTCTACGAGAATCGCCGGTAAACAATCTCCGTCGTCCTCTTTTGCAACCATCAAATTCGATAACCGTTCACAATCTCCTTTTAATTGTATCCAAAATCTTCATCGCCAATAAAACTAATTTAATTTTATTCGTCGTGATGCATATTATATCAACGAGCATCGATATGAATTTTTCTTCGTCGTGAGAAACTCTTTATTCGAATATAAATCCTTCACGAATGAAACTATTTTCGACAAAATCTCAATCCGAATCTCATCGTCCTTCTCAAGATTTATCAATTCATAAAAATGACTATTATTTTTTTACTTTTTTAAATTTTTCGCTAATTAATTTTATTTTTAATTTTAAAAAATTAAATATTTGTAAAATAAACTACAAATTATGTTGAAATTTTTTTTGAATTTTTTTTGGGATAACAATGAAATGCAATATTAATAAAATTAATTTTTATTTAAATAAAAAAGTATTGTCATGTCATCTAAAAGTTAATAATTAATTGAGATGGTAAGGGTAAAATTAGAATTTTATTTTTGTTGTGAGATCGTGAGTATGAAAATAACAACATTTAATTGTTTGGGTATTAAATTGCACAGTTTTATTATTATGTGTATTTTTCTTCCAACCAAAAACAATTGGGTATTAAACGTCCAAATAAAAAATAAATGAGGTTTTTTTTGGGAATTTTCCCTAAAAAAAAAGAATATTGGTTTTGTAGAGCAGTCAGTTCATTTTGGTTCGCTAGTTCTTACAAGAGTTTGAAAAACACCCTCATCAAAAGTATCTTACTAGTTACTATGAGTATCTCACAAACTTTTAAAACTAAACAATAGTAATATTTGAATGGATATCTCAAATAGTTGATATAAGTATCTCTTCCACAATATCTTAAAGTATCTCAAATGAGCAACTTTTAAATAAACTAGGTGAATACCCGCACGTAGTGCGGGTTTATGTATTTTTTTTCTTCTAAAATATCGTTTTACAGTATTAAATATAGCGAATGAATTATTTGTAACATGTAAATTCAAGTTGTAATTGTTGTAAAACCAGTCCAGCTGCATTGTGCATTTGAAATTTCTCATCTTCTCTTCTATTTTTTTGTAGAATATCGTATACATCAACAGTTAGACAAAATGTTCACCGTGAAAAAATTGCCTTTTTCTCATAAATTTAAGCCTAAATTTAAAGAATCCCCTGATAAAAAAATCAATCATAAAATAATATATGTTTAACTAAACCCTTTGAGTGAAACCAAGTTCTTCAGGCATTGAATACCAAAGGAAACAAGCGCATAAGATATGAATTCCTAACTATAGTAATAAAAATCCAGTCATGCGATTTTGTACATAATCGTCTTAACACTCACCTTAAGAGCATTGAGAAGCTTTGCTTGACCCACCTTATTAAGAGCTACAACGGTAAAGAAAGCTTTTCAGCTAAATCTTGAGAGCGAAAACATGTGTGATTATCTAGTATTTTCTCAAAAAAAATGTATGTCTCCACTTCGTCTCTCTTATTTTATTTAGTATCTCCTACACCAGACTTGCGCTTCTCATATGCGGTGGAAATCAAAGTAGGACTACGAGACAACATTTATTTTAGAGAAATAGAAACTTGTAGCATTTGAATTATATCGTGAAGAAGCCAGAACTGATCACGACATTACAACGACCAGGTACGGTTTCAGTAAACTTAGGTAACTTAAAATTTTGAAGTTAGCGATTTGAACAGCTTCGAATATGTTACTTTTATGTGGATCTTTTTCATCATTCTTCCATGGGAAAGTTTCCATCCATAGACAGGCTCTTGTTGTTCTAGTCAACAACTCAATATGAACCATATTCGCAGAGTATAGTATCACTCTCACTCCTCCAAGATAGACAAGGAATATAGCCTTTGAATGGTGCTCCCAAAAGAAGTCGGTAACCAAGGCTTATGACGAATCCAAATTAGCTCGGTTCTTCTTCGGTTTTAAAAAAATAGATATTCTAGATTTTGGATTTCTTTTTGTGCAAAGAGAGAGCTGCATCATGTTTTATATACATCCCGACTAAACGATGTACAAATAAATTAAAGCTAAAATGTATGTATAGTCTACTTATACACAATCAATACACATTGAAGATTTAAATCTGATAATTATATTTAAACCACCTTGTTTCCATCAAGTTACGGGGAAGAAAAAAAAAGTTACGGGGAAGACCACAAACTTTTTCTACTCCTCATAAAACCACGGATCAAGTAATGAGATCATACACTTGAATAAGGCTGATGAGCTCATCCTCTCCTTATATGAGAGTTTCATAACAAACGTATTAAAGTTCTGTTACCAGTAAATTCCCTGCAACACAAAATAGATAGGTAAATCGTCAAAATGTGTG